TTTAATTATACATTAGTTATTCTAATTTAATTAATTATTATTAAATTATAATTAATTAAGTTAATTATAAATTAATCATATTTATTATAATTAATTATAATTAATTATTTTTAACTATTATTAATTATAATTAGTTGCAAAAAAAGGAGCTTTTAATAAAAAATAAAATTGGTTCTTTTTCTCGACGCTTGCAACGAGCCGGCAAACCCTGAGGCGCTCACGTAGCGTTTAGGGTGGAAAACCGGTGCAATGCTCGCGACGATTTAAGAATCCCTCTTCAAAGCTTGCAACGAGCCGGCAAACCCCGAGGCGCTCAAGTAGCATTTAGGGTGGGAAACCGGTGCGACGCTTGCGGCGAAGGGGATATAAAAATGTGTCTTTATTTTTTTTTCATATAAGTACCCCCCAACGCCCACGTGGTGCAAGGGGGGAAATCTGTGTTTTTCTCTAACTCCCGTTTTCTTCTTATAAAAATCCTTAAGATATGAATCAATAGGATATGATCGATAGGGCACAAAGTCCTCTGTTAGCTAAGGTGGATTCAAATTTGTCCCCTTTGGCAAACATCCAACCCAGGTCTACAAGGTACCCATGGACGAAGCAACCCATGGTTGCCGACAAGGATCCTTCTGTCAGGTTGGGTCGAGTACCTCCTCTGACTAAGTAGACCAGGGACCACGATGGCCCGGGACGACAGAACCATGGGAACTTGATTGGGTCTATCATCCATTCCCCCACCATCCGCTTTAAGTGCACGATGGTGAAATTTCTATTTTAAATATCAAACTTTTTCAAATCCTTCCAAATACCCAAATTTAAATCCAATATTTCCAAATCCAAGCATATGCTGCTACTATACGCCATATAACACGTATATTCTACGTATCTGATTGACGACTAGCCTTAATCGAAAGTTCTCTCTCGTGATCGGGAGGGGTAATTAACTATAGGGGCTTGCGCCTATAGGAAACTAGAACTCAGATCATAAAGTCCTCGCAAAATGAGGGCGAAATCTCTGGGTAGTGTCTTATCTACAAACCCATCTGCCTTCCAAAATTTACCCCGGAACTTAGTACGTTAAAACTCCCTCGCTGAATAAAAAAAAAGCGAGCAGAGGCCGGGGCCGAATTTTCGGAGCCCACAAATCTTCACTTGTATGCATTTCATAAGAAACAACAACAAAGAGAGGGAAACAGGAAGAGAGATAAGAGGTGTCATTTGAGAAAGAAAGGAAGAAATATTTTAAATGTCTGCAAGTGGAGTTCTTCAAGAATAATAAGTCTAGCTCTCATATTTGCAATAGCTGATTGCATTTTCTATCAACAACATAAAAATGTTTTTATTCATAAGTTTAATTTTGCATGAAGTTTAACTCTTCATGTATCTCTTTTGAAGTTCGGTGGATTATTTAATCTCTTTGCAATAATAGATATAGGCTACTTGAGCCGAACCAAATAAATTTTGGTGTTTTCATTTGTTATTTTTGGTCTCTTTTTTACAATTACATTGTATTTCATCGCACTTGACCTTAAGTTGAGGGCACTCACTTTCCTAACAGTAGAAGCTAGCCAGCAAGCTGCAAAAAAAAAAGTGATAAGGCCCCTACTTTTTATGAAAACAATGAGGGATTCTTTACCTCTCTTGCTTAGTTCTGAGTTTTGTCTTTGTGAATTGCAGCCTCTTTGTTTCCTTTTATATGTTCTCCAAACTCTACCCCTATATAAGACAAACAATATTGACACATTTTTCAAATTGCAAATGTTATAACTGCATAAGGATATCAGTAAAACATGAGCAATTAATAACAATTGCCAGAAAGAAAAAAAAATACATAAGATAAAATTAAGATAGCACGAAGCATAAGCATTCATCAGAATTTGAAAACCACTCATGTGTGCCACCTTGCTTAAAGCTTGATGGCAGAAGAGTGACAATTATATTTTTTTCTTATTTCAGCCGTGTCTAGTGAATAAGATACAAAATCTCCCAATGTATCATCGCCCAAAATGCTCCTATAAGAATAAAAAAATGGGAATCATGATCATCAATGGCTTCATCAATAGGAGGCAGACGATATTGACTTGTCTTCGTGCACTAAAGATTACTAGGTGTTCATTGAACAAATTCCGTGGGAATTGAAAAGTGTAGAGCAAGTTGGGTTATTTACTTTCCTCCACTTGTTCTTTCTGAAACCATATTAGGCGCAAATTTGATTCTTCATTTCTACCATAAGGCTGCATTATTTAATTAAGAGTTCTTGAGCTTTTATCCTTTGGTTTAACATTTCACTCTCCAAGATATGGTTCAAAAACCTAGAGTAAGCCTAACATTTACGTTGATGGACATTTTTATATTTTCTGTGCTAGATCTTTACATGAGCTCATGCAGAAGGGAAAGTTTGCCTTTTTTTTTTTCTGTTTTTTCCCTGCATAATCATTGATTTATGTTGATACTCTTTTTGTTGTATGTTAAATCATATTTTTGTGTCTCCTTCGATGATGTCAATCTCTATGGTTGTAAAACTATAGTGTGGCCCCAAATTGTTTCATATTTTTTCAAGTTATCCTTAATAGTTCTTTGTTTTACGATGATAAGGTTATTGTGCTTATTCTCATTATGCTCGTTATAGTGGTCAGAACATATAATAGCATACATGGATAAATTTTGTTCAGCCTTTGAGTTCTTGCTGTATCTCTTAGGTTGTCTATGATGCCAACAAACTTTCAAAGTTGGTTGGAAAGAAGAAAGCCATGAAGAACTGGTTGGACTATTATAAGCTGAAGTATGAAAGGAATTCATCTAAAAGACCCAATTGCAAGGTCCCTCTTCATATTTTCTCAAATGAGAATCGAATTTCTGTTTGTTACTGCAGCTTAATTGGAAATAATAACATTGTCCTGGTGTCTTAACCAGACTGGTTTCTTTGGGCTTTACGGTAAGAAGGTTGATGCAATTGAATACTACACTTCGGAGATTGACAAGTTATCAAAAGAGGTAAGCCATGTTATGTGAATAATGTAGGATAGTGAAGGCCTTGGAAGTTGCAAGCTGGGTTCACTTCACTTTTCAATACCACAGAATTCCTAAGCGCTTTGATCAAAATTATATTCACCACTAGCTAACTTAGGTTTCATTTGGGACAGCTTTCTTACTGCTTTCAACTGCTTTCTAGTTAAAAAAATTGTCAAAAGCAATGACAAAGTAGTGTTCAAAAACTGTCCCAAACAAAACTTTAATATGCATGGTTCAATTTTCCACATAATATTCGATTTTTGTAATTCAATACCTTGCTGCTTGCATTATCTAACAGAATTAGTTTTACATTGCGAACTCTGTAGGGTGGGGAAGGCCCACATGCTTAAGGGCTTGTTTTTATCCTTTATTGACAGAAGATCTTTTACGCTCTGGTTAAAGTTTTTGTATTCAGAAGTTATTAGTTATTAATTTCTTGGCTTGAGTATTCATGTTTCTCTGCTAACTTCAGAATGGGAAAAATCCAGTAAATTTCATTTAGATGTTTGTATGTTAAGTAATACTTGGTTATTGTAAAATTTGATGTCTTCAAATTATGTTTGTTTCTGATAACTCGGGTAACAATTGCACCTTCAATATCGCTACATGATAACTTTTTGCATTGTTCCAACAGACTTGACTGATCTCAGAATTTTTAGCCATAACTACCTAATTTCAACTTTTTTTTTTGGCTGTAAAATCATCCCTTATTTTCGCTCTTCATCTCTTGATATTGTAGAAGACTCAAGTTTATTTCTTACCTTCAGATTCTTGAATAATTCTGTAATGGTCCCTGGACCTTTTAGGTGTCCCTATTTTAATCTCTTTTTTTTTTTCAAATATTCAATTTGATCCCTCAACTTAATAAATCTGAACCAATTTGCTCTTCCTGTCAGCTCTCTCACTTTTTTTTTTATGGAAATTGGTTAAAAAAATGTTTTAATGAGAAAATGGTAGAGTTTTTATCTCTTATTGCTTGTAATTGGTATTAAGTCGTAAATTAGCCTTAAAAAATTCAAAATGTCCAAATAAAAAAGCTTCCTTCAACAATTTCAGTCCCAAAAAAAGGGTAAAACCACCAGTATGATCAAATTACTTCGGATTTTGTTCATTTACTCATTCCGTAAATTATACATGTATTTTTTACTGGTGTTTTGATTTCACAGGAGGTTAAAGAACGTGATAGGCTTAAGAAGGACCCAAAGTCTGTCATGCCAACAGCATTTGTTTCATTTAAATCTCGTTGGGGTGCAGCCGTTTGTGCGCAGACTCAACAGAGCAGAAATCCAACTATATGGTTGACTGAGTGGTCTCCAGAACCACGTGATGTCTACTGGAGCAATCTAGCCATTCCTTTCGTCAACCTGAATATTAGGCGATTGATAATAGGAGTTATATTCTTCTTTCTTACTTTCTTCTTCATTATCCCTATAGCTATCGTACAGTCTATGGCAAACATCGAAGGAATCGAGGAAGCTGTTCCATTTTTGAAGCCTTTAATTGAAGTGTGAGTATAAATCAAGCTTTTTTAAAGCCGTTTCTCTCAATTTTCATATAAGTATATAACTAAGCATTTTTTTTTTCATTCCTTCTCATTTGCTATTTTAGCTACTTCTCATTTATATGAATTCTATACTAATGTTATTGCTATGGCTAGTTCGTTGTGTAGAAAACTTCATAGTTGCTTGTTTCTCCTGTCTCTTTGTTAAGGAAATCTAATGTGTTACTGAACAGATGTGAATGGAAAATTAAGATTCCTATATTCGAAGCCAAATGGTAATGAAAAACCTAATGCTGCTGCTGATGATGTTAGTTTTGCTGGTGTATTATCAAATACAACAGAAATACTTGTAACATCTGCAGCTTAAAAGAAAAATGATCACGATCACGCTATTCCGTTTATTCCCTTGACTCACTCCTCATAACTAGACATACAAAACGGCAAAAAAGAACCATAGAAATTAGTATATTTTAGCCAAATGTGAAAATTGCACGGTTCATGGTATTTTTTATTAAATGCAATTTTTTATAACCATAAAATAAAACGAATATAACTTGAAGCAATTATAAGAACTTGTTAGATGAAAAGGTTTAAAAAACACAATTAATTTTAATGGGATGACACAGGAGAAAGTATCGCTTAAAAAATTCTCATTTAATGTCTTGTTTGTAGCGCAATGAATCTCGGTGAATTACAATAATTTTGTTATCTATTCCTTCCCCTCTTTGATTTGAAACTTTCTATACAAATAAACTTCTATACTCATAATACTACCATCATAATTATAATGTTGCTTAAAATTTGGGTCACCGACATCCTCAATGATAGGATAAGATAGGGATGTTCTGGCGATCACATTCTAGGAGCTTAGGATAATTAATTTCTAGTCTCATATAGGCACACATGAATATATAAAGTAAAGTTTTAGGGTTAAGAGTTTACCTTCTTAACCACATAAAGAGGAAGATGATGAGCAGGCTCAAAGTGATTAAGCATGTGAGGGTTAGACTTAGAGTTTACCTTCTTAAGCACATAAAGAGGATGATAATGATGTTTAAAGAAGAAGATATCAAAATTTCGTCCCCACTTCTACTCACTCATCTTCCTCTCCATCGAACCTATTGTAGCTATAAAAAAATTTGCTTATCACTGTCACGACCTGGCCCGGTTAGCTCGCAAGTGCGAGGCAGGAACAAAGGTCGGACAGTATGAATTAATAAAAACTTCACATTACTGAATAAAAGGACATCTTCAAAGCATAATGAAAGAGCCACTAAAGAATCTTCAAGTAATTTTTTTTTTTCATTTCTTCCTTTCAACACCTCAATATTCCTTACATTCAATCTCTAATCCTTCTAATCAAAACATCAAAATAACAAAACAAAACCTGTCGTCCGTCGTCTCCCTATGACGGTACGTGATGGGAGGTCTATCCTCCATCTATCCTTTACCGGATCCTCCAGAAAAGTGTCCCACAACATGGGTGAGCCATAACTCAATAGGTGTAAATGGCATTCAAATAAACTTAGAATCAAGGAAAGAAAATTATTACATGTTTTGAGATCATAGCAAAAGAATAATCATCATACTACATTGTTTTGTCTAAGGAGATGCATGTTTATACTTCAACCTTCAAGTTCTTGTTTCTTTCATAATCTTTTCATCATTCCTTTAAAAACATTTATGCCTCAAATGATAGTCTCAAATGCATATAACATGAATATGAAATGTTTATAATATCTTAATATGTAAATATAACACAAGTCTCAGAAGTATCACTTGTACTGATCAGGTACATAATTTGGCCATTCCTTTACCATTTGGCTCATAAAAGCCTCCTTTACCATTTGACTCATAAGAGCCTTCTTTACCATTGCTCAAAAGAGCTCATTTATCATTTGATACTTCCGCGTCAATATGCACATACACTTAATACTTACATATTCATAAGAGATGCTTATGTAAACTATTCATAAACTATTCAAGTGTATGTTTCCATAAGGATATACATGCTTATTTGCATAAAAAGGAAAGACATGGGTAGTACAAGTAAATAAAATAACATGAGATTCATTCATAAGTTATAATATTGCATAGAAAAGACTTGCATCTACATCAAGTGTCCATGAACTTATATAAGAAAACATGAGTCATAAAGATATCATAACGAGCATAAAAGAAAAATGTCATTTCTATGTATTTGCATGAAATAAGAGTTTTCTAAATTTAAAAGAATGTCTATTTCACCTACCTCAACTTGTGCACCACTTCCGGTAGCCCAATCAAACATTTCCCTCCACACGTTCAATATCTAAAAGAGACATATAAAAATGCACAAGTAAACTAGTCCAACAACCTCCTAAATCCTTAATCTAAGATAATAAAGAGTTCAACCAAATATCATGTCTACGTTTTAAAGTTAAACCCCTCCACCATTCATGATATCTCTCACTTCCATTCTTTTTCAATTAGGATTTAATTAAATTCTTGGATCTTATACATGCAAACATCATTCCTACATCCAAATATTAATTAAAACTTAAATAATTTTTGGATTATTTCAAATAAAAAATTAGGAAAACTTGCATTTCAAGTAAAAGCCCTAAATGTTTCGCTAAAACCCTTCCAAAAACCTTTTAGAACCATAGGGATCAAAAATTCTATGATTAGGGAAAAAGCCCTAAATTTCAACACTCAAAACTTCTCACAACCATACATTATTTTTCAATTAGAAACTCCCTTATGTCATTAGAAACTTCTTTTGTGAAGGCATTTTGGAAGAAAAATAATTTTGAGTGAAATCCTAATTTCCAAAATTCGTATTTTTAATAAAAACAACTCTCATTAGGGTTTAAAAACATCCCTTAACCCTTCCCTAAACTTATCTCAAAGAAATATTGAGTTTTCTCAAAACCCTAATTTCCTTCCCTTAGAGAAAACTCATAGAAAAGAAGAAAAATCTCTTGCAGAACACTTACCTTAGCTTTCTCTTAGATTTCCCTACAATTTCCTCCATGAAACTCCGCCGGAAACCGCCTCCTGGATCGCCTGAGTCGCCTCCTACCCGACGCCTTCTTCTCTTTTGTCCGCTCTGTTCGGGATACACGAATGAATGAGGGACCGAAATGTTTCAGTCCCACATTTCGATCCCCTAATAAGAGTGGGATTCTCTCATTATAAGCACAATGACCTCAAAGCCCTCACTTAAACATCTTTTCTAATCAAATGATACCAAGGATAAAATTGTCATTTAGAACTTTCTGGAAATTTTAACTCTCAAAATACTCGAAATTCAATAAATGTTCTATACATCATTTTGTTCAGAATTTTGCGCTCTATTTTATAAAATTTATTGCGTTGAATTTCGACGACTTTTAAATTTTCACTTAAAACTCGTCGCGACACATCGAAAAGCGTGCAAAGTCCAAAACGGCATTTTTGCGGGTTTTACAGTTCTCCCTCTCTTATAAAAATTTCGTCCTCGAAATTTAAGACAAGCTTAAGAAACCATACCTTAGTCAAATAGGTGAGGGTAGCTCTTCCTCATCTCTGATTCCTTCTCCCAAGTAGCATCTTTCTCAGATCCATGCTTCCATAGAACTTTAACATAAGGAATCTCTCTGCTTCGAAGCTACTTAACATCATAATCTATAATCTTCTCAGGCTCATCTACAAAAGTCAGATCTGGTTGGATATCTATTGATTCAGTACTGATCTTCTGAGCTTCATCTGATATGTATTTCCTCAAGGAAGATATGTGGAATACATTATGTACTCCACTCATATGAGATAGTAAAACCAATCTGTAGGCCACACTTCCAACTCTCTCTGATATTTCAAATGAGCCAACATATCTTGGACTCAGTTTCCCTATTTTGTCAAATCTCTTTACACCCTTCATAGGACTAACCTTGAGAAATACAAACTCTCCAACATCAAACTCAACTGATCTATGTTTAGCATCATAGTACTTCTTCTATCTATCTTGTATAGCCTCCAATCTGTCACGAACCAGTCTTATCTTTTCAGTAGCCTCATCTACTAAATCAGCTCCATGATCTTTCTTTCTCCTATCTCAACCCAACATAAAGGAGTTCAACACTTTTTTCCATACAAAGCTTCATAAGGTATCATACCTATACTTGCTTGGAAACTGTTGTTATAAGCAAATTCAATCAGTGGTATATGTGTCTCCCATTTGCCACCAAAATCAAGTACACATAATCTGAGTAAATCCTCTAAGGTCTGAATAATCCTTTCTGATTGACCATCTATTTGAGGGTGAAAGGCTGTACTGAAAGTAAGTCTAGTGCCCATTGCCTCTTGAACCTTCCTCCACAGTCTAGAGGTAAATCTCGCATCTCTATCTGATACTATCGATCTTGGTACACCATGAAGTTTAACAATCTCATTAGCATACACACTTGCCAACTTCTCAACAACATCAGATTGTTTGATAGGTAAAAAGTGTGCCGATTTGGTCAACCTATCTATTATCACCCATATAGTATCATGACCATTTCTGGACCTAGGTAAACCAACTACAAAATCCATGGCTATGTCTTCCCACTTCCATTCTGGTATAGGTAAAGGCTATAATAAACCTCCTGGCTTTTGATGTTCTACCTTAACAATTTGGCAAATAGTACACTTAGCCACCACTTCTGCTACACTTCTCTTCATCCCTGGCCACCAAAAGTATTGTTTCAAATCTTGGTACATCTTATTACTACATGGGTGAATGATATAACTTGAATAGTGAGCTTCTTGAAGAATGTCCTTTCTCAAATCTCCAACATTAGGAATACAAATTCTGCCTCTATACCATAGTAGCTCATCCTCATCAAGCTCAAACTCCTCCACGTGACCTACCTTCACCATATTTAGGACTTTCTCAAACTCCCTTCTTGTGGCAAAGCTTCCCTTATCCTATCCTTCAATGTTGATTGAATAATCATCTGATTCAAAGCCACAAACTCTGCATCATTGGGCTGGACTATTAAAATATCTAACTTCTCCAAATCTCTTACCAACTCATGCTGTTGTGTAATCATCCAACTGGCACCACTGGAAGTCTTCCTGCTCAAGGCATCTGCTACTAGGGGTGCAAACGAGTCAAGCCGACTCGCGAGTCGGCTCGAACTCGACTCAATAACTAGCTCGACGAGTCGAGCTTATCGAGCTCGCGAGTCGAGCTCGAACACCATTTCGAGCTCGATGGCTTATCGAGCTCGACCAGACCTCCGACTCGGCTCATTGGCTCGACGAGCTACTCGCGTGTGTGACTGGGCGGGAAAAATTTTTTGGGTAGCTGCGAATGGTTCGACGGACGAATGACGGGAGAATGGCGTCAAGTCTCGAAGTTGGATCTCGACAGAGGACGCGACGACGAGCTTGGGAGTTGGGACTCGACGGCAGACGCAATGACGAGGTCGGGAATCGACCGCGACGACGAGCTCTGGATCTCGACAGCGGACGCAAGGACGAGGTCGGCAATCGACCGCGACGGCGAGCTCTGGATCTCGACGGCGGAAGGATCAGATCCAGTGGGAGTTGGAAATCGACCGCGACGACGAACTCTGGATCTCGACGACAAACGCGAGCTTGACGTCGCGGAAGGATCAGATTTAGTGGATCTTGACTTCGAACGCAACTGCAAACTCGACGACGGACAAGCGGAGCCAATGGCGAGCTCGTGACGACGAAGGAGTTCGCAATGGAGCTCGACTGAACTCGGAAAGCCTACTCGGGACGGTGTTCGCAGCGGAGCTCGACTGAGCTCGACGAGCCGCTCAAAGTATGAGACGAGTCGAGCTCGAGCTCAGATTTTGAGCTCGAGAGCTCGGTATTTGAAAGTCGAGCTCGACTCGAACACTACCTAACTCGAGCTCGACTCGACTCGTTTGCACCCCTACTTGCTACTAGATTTTCTTTACCTGGATGAAATTAGATGTCCAAATCATAGTCCTTGATAAGCTCCAACCATCTCCTCTGCCTCAAATTTAACTCTTTTTGTGTGAAGATGTATTTTAAACTTTGGTGATCAGTAAATACTTCACACTTAACCCTATATAAGTAATGTCTTCATATCTTCACAGCAAAAACCACTGTAGCTAACTTCAAATCATGGGTTGGATAGTTTCTTTCATGATTTTTCAATTGCCTTGAAGTATAGGCAATGACCCTTCCGTTCTGCATCAGTACACAACCCAACCCTTTGAGAGAGGCATCACTATAAAGCTGAAATCCATATGTTCCTAAAGGAATAGTAAGCACTGGAGCAGTCATCAATAACTGTTTCAATCTTTGAAAAGCCTCTTCACATTGATCTGTCCATACAAACTTTACTGCCTTTTGGGTCAATCTAGATAATGGCATAGCTAGTCGAGAAAACCCCTCAACAAACTTTCTGTAGCAACCAGCTAAACCCAAAAAGCTCCTGATCTCCTTTTAATCAAAACATCAAAATAACAAAATAAAACCTGTCGCCCGTCGACTCCCTATGACAGTACGTGATGGGAGGTCTATCCTCCATCTATCATTTATCGGATCCTCCAGAAAAGTGTCCTACAACATGGGTGAGCCATAACTCAAGAGGTGTAAATGGCATTCAAATAAACTTAGAATCAAAGAAAGAAAATTATTACATGTTTTGAGATCATAGCAAAAGAATAATCATCATACTACATTGTTTTGTCTAAGGAGATGCATGTTTATACTTCAACCTTCAAGTTCTTGTTCCTTTCATAATCTTTTCATCATTCCTTTAAAAACATGTATGCCTCAAATGATAGTCTCAAATGCATATAACATGGATATGAAATATTCATAATATCTTAATATGTAAATATAACACCCGTCTCGGAAGTATTACTTGTACTGATCAGATACATAATTTGGTCATTCCTTTACCATTTGGCTCATAAGAGCCTCCTTTACCATTGCTCAAAAGAAATTCTTTACCATTTGATATTTTCGCGTCAACATGCACATACACTTAATACTTACATATTCATAAGAGATGCTTATATAAACTATTCATAAACTATTCAAATATATGTTTCCATAAAGATATGGATGCTTGCTATGCTCATATGTTTATTTGCACGAAAAGGAAAGACATGGGTAGTACAAGTAAAGAAAATAGCATAAGATTCATTTATAAGTTCTAATATTGCATAGAAAAGACTTGCATTTACATCAAGTATCCATGAACTTATATAAGGGAACATGAGTCATAAAGATATCATAACGAGCATAAAAGAAAAATATCATTTCTATGTATTTGCATGAAAAAAAGAGTTTTCTAAATTTAAAAGAATGTCAATTTCACCTACCTCAACTTGTGCACCACTTCCGGTAGCCCAATCAAACATTTCCCTCTACACGTTCAATATCTAAAAGAGACATACAAAAATGCATAAGTAAACTAGTCCCTACTTAACCTCCTAAATCCTTAATCTAAGATAATAAAGAGTTCAACATAATATCATGTCTACATTTTCAAGTTAAACCCCTCCACCATTCATGATATCTCTCACTCTCATTCTTTCTCAATTAGGATTTAGTTAAAATCTTGGATCTTATACATGCAAACATCCTTCCTACAACCAAATATTAATTAAAGCATAAATAATTTTTGAATTATTTCAAATCAAAAATTAGAAAAACTTGCATTTCAAGTAAAAGCCCTAAATGTTTTGCTAAAACCCTTCCAAAAATCTTTTAGAACCATAGGGATAAAAAATTCTATGATTAGGGAAGCCCTAAATTTTAACACTCAAAACTTCTCACAACCATACATTATTTTTCAATTAGAAACTCCCTTATGTCATTAGAAACTTCTTTTGTGAAGTCATTTTCAAAGAAAAATAATTTTGAGTGAAACCTTAATTTTCAAAATTCATATTTTTCATAAAAACAACTCTCATTAGGGTTTAAAAACATCCATTAACCCTTCCCTAAACTTATCTCAAAGAAATATTGAGTTTTCTCAAAATCCTAATTTCCTTCCCTCAGAGAAAACTCATAGAAAAGAAGAGAAATCTCTTGCAAAACACTTACCTTAGCTTTCTCTTAGATTTCCTTATAATTTCCTCCACGAAACGTCGCCGACCGCCTCCTAAATCGCCGGAGTCGCCTCCTACCCGACGCCTTCTTCTCTTTTGTCCGCTCGGTTTGGGATACACGAAGGAATGGGAGACCGAAACACATTTCGGTCCCCTAATAAGAGTGGGATTCTCTCATTATGAGCACAATGACCTCAAAGCCCTCACTTAAATATCTTTTCTATTCAAATGATACAAAGGGCATAATTGTCATTTAGAACTTTCCGAAAATTTTAACTATCAAAATACTCAAAATTCAATATAGGTTCTATACATTATTTTGCTCAGAATTTTGTGCTATATTTTATAAAATTTATTGCTTTGAATTCCGATGACTTTCAAATTTTCACTTAAAACTCGTCGCGACGCATCGAAAAGCGTGCGAAGTCCAAAACGGCATTTTTGCGGGTTTTACAATCACCAAATTGGGAACTCCTCTTATCCACAAATTTCATGCCCTAGGAGCCAATGTCGACTGTTGTAATTTCATTCAGTCATCTCACTCTTGCCCGTGATTCACTCTATCACTCCTCGAGCTTTAAGAAGAACATAAGGCAGTACGAAAAAGCAAATTGTTGGGTCAATTCAGTTGAGTCAACTTGGTCAAGATTGACATTATTGTTATTTTTTACACGTTACATTAACTTATACTACAGTTGAGACCAGATGTCAGTTGGAATGTGCTATTTTCAATAGGCATAAACATAAAATTGATTGATTGCTTCTCAAACTCCAGTGTTTGACCCATCTCAAAACTCTATCATTATGTTTTTGCATCAGTTTGGTATATCTTGTCTGCTACTATGCTGTAATTTAAAATCACTTTGAACTTCCTTTCAGAAGGTGCTCCATATCAGCAAATCTCATGTACACTGGATGCTCTTCTATAGCAATTTGCATTATCTTCTGACAGGCAATTTTAGTTTTTTTTTTTTTTTTTTTTTTTGGGGGGGGAGTAAATAATAGTGACTTCAGGTTTTCAGCCATTTATAATTTTTTCTGCTGCTTTAATTGCCATTTAATGTCTTGAAATCTTTCTTTTAATATGGATACTGCTTCTAATGCGGACTCTTTGCTTTTGCAGGCCCTTTATTAAGTCATTCATCCAAGGTTTTCTTCCTGGAATTGTTCTAAAGATTTTTCTTATCTTTCTGCCAATGATATTGATGATCATGGTCAAGTTTGAAGGATTTATATCTATATCATCTCTTGAGAGAAGAGCAGCAACAAAATATTATATATTTTTGTTTGTGAATGTATTCCTTGGAAGCATAATTGCAGGGACTGCATTCCAGCAAATCGAAACTTTCATTCATCAGTCAGTCAGTGAGTGAGTTTTCTGGCCTGCTTCCTACATTTAGAAAATAAATTACCTTAATAATATCTCTTTCTAAAAAAATTTAAAAAAGTTTATTCTTATTTTACCATGTTTTTACTATTTTTGTTGGTTTAAACTATTTGGTTTAAGTATTGGGAAAGCGCATGAACCTATGATAAGATAACAAGCATTTTGCAGCGCTTGCTTATTTCCTTCAAGTTTTAATTCACTTTTCCGATAGGAATACTCTATGAACTCACGGTTTTTAAGAGAGCTAGAATAAGCATCTTCATCGTTCATGCGAAACTGATCATGCACGTATTTTTTTTAACAATCGGTATTAGAGCTAGTCTCTTAAGGTTCTATAGTAAAAGTGGATGTATTAGCATTTGAAGATGGAAAGGTGAGGATCAACAAGTGTGATGACAAGAATTTTGAGTGCTGGAAGATACAAATCTAATGTTACTTGAACCAAAAAGATATGGATTAAAGGTTACATGTACCAAAAAAGCCACTTCTATCTCTCATTGAGTCAGATTGAAATCTCTTAAACAGATAGACATAGGTAGTCGACGTCGACTCCTCATTTCCGGCCTAAATCGAAGCATCAGCCGATCCCAAGCTCCGACTACACTCTACTGTGCCGAGTCGCCCTTGCTCCACAAACCTCTCACCTGACCTCACCACAGTGCCGACTCCTTAAAGCCAAACACGTCAAAACCACGTCTGACCTCCTCCCTCCAATCAGAGCTCCACATAATCCCGTCAAACCTCCACAGCCGAAGTCAAATCTCCCCATTTGCACGTAGAAGCCAAAGCCTATCCACCTCCCTCTTAGCCGACCCACTGTGATGATAGGCCGAAACCTCTGCTGCAGCAAAACCTCTCCATCTAACCACTTACCTAATCCCTACTGAACTTGGCTTCAGGTGTTCGAATCTCGACCTAGCCGAAGATCCTCTAGGAAGCTTACCCGACCCTTCTATTCTCAGGGAATTTTTATTGCCCCAGGTTACCTGACGCAACTTTATGTTCGGCATAGGCTAATCAAGCGCCACGTAGTAGACGTGTTTTCGCAGACTCGATCCGGCGATTATTGGGTAAATGGCACGTGTGTTTTTTGAATTTTACGAACCGGCATGCGAACCCAAGAAAATCCCGGCGGACCCGAAATGTATGTTTAATTTTCAAATAAAGATCACCGTCTTTCACTTCCGTCATCATTTGCATTCCGGCAACTATTCTTCTTCTTACAAGTTCTAAGCTCTCGGCATTATCAAGTTCGAAGCTCCTCGCATTTCCGGCAACTATTCTTCTTATTCCAAGATCGAAGTTTTCGAGAAGAAACAATGCCTCAAATTAGTTCCTTCATTGATAAGCAATGTGTGATCTTATTCTTTCTTTGTAAATGGGGTTTAGGGTTCCTTACACTCGGAACTGCTCTGCACCGAGCGATTTGGGCAGTGTTAAACAGTCGGTACTGCTCGGTATGTTGATCGGTACAGCTCGGTAGTGCTCGGTACTGCACTGTTTCATAAACATTAACTTAGTGCCGATCAGTACCGAGCGATTTTGGCAGTTTTATTCACTCGGTACATCTCGGTATATTGATCGGTACAGCTCGGTAGTGTTCGGTACTGTACTGTTTCATAAACATTAACTCAATACCGAGTGATTTTGACAGTTTTATTCACTCGGTACATCTCGGTATATTGATCGGTACAACTCAATAGTGCTCGGTACTGCACTGTTTCATAAACATTAAATCAGTATCGATCAGTACTGAGCGATTTTGGTAGTTTTATACACTCGGTATAGCTCGGTATGTTCATTGGTACAGCTCGGTAGTGCTCGGTACTGCACTGTTTCATAAACATTAAATCAGTACCAATTAGTACCGAGCTATTTTGGCAGTTTTATACACTCGGTATAGCTCGGTATGTTCATCGGTACAGCTCGGTAGTGCTCGGTACTGAACTGTTTCATAAACATTAAATCAGTACCGAGCAATTTTGGCAGTTTTATACACTCGGTACACCTCGGTATGTTGATCGGTACAGCTCGGTAATGCTCGGTACTGCAGTGTTTCATAAACATTAAATCGGTACCGATCAGTACCGAGTGATTTTGGCAGTTTTATACACTCGGTACAGCTTGGTTTTTTGATCGGTACAGCTCGGTAGTGCTCAGTATTGCACTGTTTCATAAACTTTAAATAAGTACCGATCAGTACTGAGCGATTTTGGCAGTTTTATACACTCGGTACATCTCGGTATGTTGATCGGTTCCACTCGGTACTGATCGGTATGTTGATCGGTACAACTCGGTACTGGTCGGTACTCATCGCTATTACCTTCATTATATTCGGTACTGATTGTGTTTAGTATGTAAAATCGAATACTCTGATTCGATTGCTTTGAATAATCGCTAACCGTTATGCAAGGATATACTCCGAAAATTCATTTTAGATGCCGAACTTCGTCTTTTAGAGAAGTTTGTAATCAACTTGTTAAGAGATTTGGAGATCCTTTGGTTGAAAGACTGCATTAGTTGCAAATTAGCCAGTTCCTCAGGCTTCCTCTTATGCCTCAAAATGTTCCACTGATGTACATGCTGCTAACGAATTGGGATTTGAAGACTGAAAGTTTTATTATTAAAAGACATAGGCTACAATTCACATCTGATGAGGTTGTATTAATCATAGGATTATCAAATAGAGGTATTATATTTGAGGTTGGTTCTGCTAGATCCACTGGGAAAACATCCAATGACATTCGCCATGACATTGAGAGGATGGATAATTCAACCCAGATGGAAGATCTTGTCAAAGGATTTGTTCTATACCTATTATCCAGCATTTTCTATCCAATGGCAAACTTCCGCATTCCATCATCTTTACTGGAACTTGTCGAAAATGTAGATAGTTTTATAACGTACAACTGGCCATAATCAATAAGGAGTTTCCTAGTAAATGAATTCAACAATGTTGCTTCTATCCAATGGATCATTGCTAATATCCAATTACTATAACAAAATTAAATTGATTTCTCTTGGCAGATTTGGTTTCTTGAATATACAACCATTCATGAGGTGGTGGATGAACTATCCCGGCCACGTTTTACTCGTTGGGATGGTAATTTTATGTACAGTGAAAAAGACGTAAATAGTATATTTGATGAACTTCAGGATCATGAGGTACCTTCAATACATTTTTTTCGTTTAAAGCTCTGCAAAATTGATATGTTTTTAAGTTTAACATTCGATAGAAATTTGAAATAACAGATTCTCCCGCATTTAAGAGGAATAACAGATGATGAGAAGGTTTTATTTCACAGACCTTCAAATATTTCATCTAGTCTATCTCCACATAGTCCTGCCAGTCTAGTGAAGGTACCAAGTCCACTCAGGGTACTAAGTCCCATTCGGGTGGCTAGCCCACCTATACATCATTCATCTCCAACAAAGTCTGATCAGCGTGGCAAGCCCACCTAAAACTGATTCTTCTGAGCAAACTCCCCCAGAATCATGTCCAATAAGAGATGAAACAAACATCAGGATATTAACTCAAGCTATTTACAAGCTTTTTAAGAAAGAGAAATATATGACGAAGAAAGTAGCTTCGGTGGAAGCAACAAATACATTACTTGAAAATCGTTTATTGAACTTGGAGTAGTGTATAGTGGAGTTGAAAGCAGAGAATTATGATTTGAAAGAGGAGATCAAGAGAAAAGACCGTGTTATGTTGCGGTTCTTCAAAGATCAATTCCCTTCATATATTAAAACTTACAAGAAAGAAATATCTGCTGAATCTTCCTCGTATGGTACAAAATCTGAGAAAATTGTTTATAAGGAGGCCAGAGTGAGTGAAGATGAGAAATTTGATCTATTTGCGAAAACCGGCATAGAAAGAAGAGTTCACCTAAGAAGTAATAGAAAGCGGAAAGTTGTTTCAACCCCTTTTACAACCGGTGATAGGAAGAAAAAAACAAAAAAATATTTATCATCCAAAGACAAGTTAAGTGAGACAATTCCCAGTGAAGTTCCATCCCAATCGCATGAAGTTTGTGAAGTTGTTTCACCAGCTCCTACACATATTTCTGAGCCTCAACCAACTGCTCCTACTTCTCCTGTTACTGCTGCTGAACCACCTCTAACTGCCATTGCAAAAAGAGTTCAAAAGAGAAATGATAGAAAGATAAAAGTTGTATCAACACCATTTACAACGAGTCACAGGAAGAAGAAGATTAAAGTAAATTTGGGTTCCAAAGAGAAGTTTGGTCAATCAATTTCAAGTGATATAACTGTAGTAGCACCTCCTCCAACTGATACTACTGAAAAAGAACTTACAACGACACCTGAACCTCATCCAACTTCAAGAAGTGAACTTCCAGCGGCACCTGAAACTACTACTAAACCAACACCAACTGATACTACTGAAAAATCTATAATTGTTTATGAAGTTGATGATTCTAAAGAAATACCATTGAAACCTGCACCTGAATACTTAGAGTACCCGGGCAGATCATTACTTAGTGAAGATAAACGGTTGTTTATTGATAATGGCCTCAAACAGTTTAAGGATAAGTGAGTAATTATCTTATACCGAGTAATACCGAGTAGTACCGAGCTATACTGATCTGTACTACTCGGTATTACATTAAACATACTAGGTACTAGATCAATACCGAGTAGTACCGAGCTACACTGATCGGTACTACTCGATATTACATTAAACAAACTCGGAACTATATCAATACCGAGTACTACCGATTAGTATCGCGTGATACCGAGTACTATCGAGCTTGACTATATGGTACTACTCGGTATTACATTAAACATACTCGGTAGTATAGCAATACCGAGTAGTACCGCGTGATACCGAGTAGTACCGAGCTTCGAAATATAACAATAGTATTTTTTACCGAGAAATACCGAGTATTGCTATATCAATACCGAGCAATACTGAGTACTACCAAGCTTCGGAATATAACAATAGTATTTTTTGCAATCAT